TACTTTTGCAGAAGAAAAAAAAAAGTCTATCTTGATTATTTCATAAAAAACCCAAAAAGAAGTTGACAAATGGGTAGGTGAATTAATTGAAAAATTTATTCAGGATAGAGCAACGAAAGCTATTGATAAAAAATTTAAAAAAGCTGAAAAATATTATGATGAGAAGGATGATAAGGAGGATAAGGACAAATTTAAGGCAGGCGTTAAAACATAATAATTAATAAATTTAGGAATTAATTATGCAGGAACTTAAATTAAATCTGAACTCAAAACTGATATTAAGAGAATGCTATAATAAGAGATAAAATCATTATAAGAATTATGCTAGAATAAGCTTTCTATTTAACTTAAAGCCTAACTGCAATTAATATGTCATTAATCTCCCTGCTATTTTAATACTAATGATGAAATTAAAAACAATTTTTATCTATGTACTGATTCTTTACTTGATATATTTAAAAGATTCAGCAAACTCTTTATATCCCGATTAAATACCTATGAATACTTGTTTAGTCCTAAATCACTAACTGAACTTAAGAAAGCGTTTGATACATTAAAGGGTTTTGCAAAAAAAACTATGAAGTCTAAAATTTTATAAGAGAATACAAATAGAAAAGAGCTCGAGAATTCAGTTTATAATTTCACTTATAAATTCAGTCAAACTCTACAGCATCTTAATTAATAAAATAAAAATCCTGTTAAATTACCTTTGTCTGCTAAGTTTAAAACCTTGTGTGATAACAATGCGATGGAATTCATTGATGACTTCAAAAATTGGATACTAATCCCTATTGAAAATATTATTTAGCATTTGACTAAGGAAATTTAGGAAAAGGTTGTTGATTACTTTTCAAAGTTTTATAAAACACTAACTGCAAAAGAGGATAAAAATGAAGGAAAAAACAAAAAAACTTAAGATAAAAATTCAAAAAACGAAAATAAGGATGATAAGAAGGAAGAATTAGATACTATTCAAACTAAATATTCTACCTACGTATCAAATACAATAGATGAATACTAGAAAGGTGAAAAATATAAAATTAATTGGGAAAATTTAGAAATAAAATTCATAGAAAAGTTAAACTTGAAAAGTAAATATGTTTCGTGCAATAATGAAGCTCCTAGTTAAATTAATCAAATTTCAAGTATCAATAAAGCTTAAATTAAACAGAGTGAGAAACCCAATATTCCACACAAAAAAGGAAATGATTATTAATCAAATTCTATTGTGAAAAAGAAAATTAAAACATTTGGTGAATAAATTTGTTTACCTTAAAACACTTAATCATTAAAAAATAAAGTAAACTCAATTTCTCTAGGTAAAAATTTAAATAATAATGATAAAAAGAGAAATAATACTAATAATATCAGACGATAGAAAATTCGAAAAGATCAAGAAATTTAATAATAAAATCCAATAAATTAGTTAGCAGGCCATCCTTGGAATCCGATCATCTCAATCAATGTTGGAGAAAAGCCAAGTTCACCCTTCAATGGGCCAATAGATTTATCAGAAGGGTATTTGGGTTAAACAATAACCTAATAGTAAAGTATCAGAAATTCAAAAGAAATAGCAATCAAATCAGGTAATGGTAAAAGATAAAATGTTAAAAGAATTTAGAGTGCTGTCGCTAGAACGAATATGTAACTTGATAAAACAAATTAATAGTTAACTTCTTAATCAAAACCCAAGTATACTGGAAGATAATCATATTTTAAAATTTAATAACCGAATATTACACAGTAAAATCCCACATTCCCATAAAGATATCCGAATTTTAAAGTAAGATAGCCCTATATTAAAAATATATAACCAAAATATTCCTTAATATAACCCTCATTTGCGAGTTAACCCAATAATTAAAACATTTAAATGGACTTCATAACTAGATACCCTGATAATACAAATAGATATCTCTAATTTACATCAAGCTAAACTTCATTTAATTTACCATATTATGATCCAGTAAAGTTATAACACTTTAGAACTTATAAAGCTAATGCAGAAAGGCGTAAATCTGGACTACCAAACAAGGCCTTAAATTATTTTTTATTGTCAAATGATGATATTCATAGAGTTCAGAACAAATTATAAGGCAAAGTAAAAATAAGTCCAAAAAAGAAAAAAAAGAAAGTAGATTAGATTGAGCATCTGCTTCAAACTATTTTAAACTAAAAGAAGAATTGAATTGAATTGATTTTATTTATTATTTATATTTAATCATTTTCATATAATTATTACAAAAATTTGATTACATGGGGTTTTGGGGTTTTGGGG